AAAACAGCTACATTATAAAGTGATGCAAAATACAAAAAACAGGAACATGTCTGTTGGTTTATGCCATGATCTTAGCAGGTGTTTGAAGCCATTTAACATTTTATTTTATTTTAATTCATTCATTTAAAAGAAACAAAATTTAAAAAATCATCAAAAAGAAAATATTGAATGAAAAGAGTGCAGAAAGAAGAAAAAAAAACTTATATCTGCCCCTTATTTAAAAAGTATAAAATAACTTTAAACAATCACTTAAATTAATCACTTTAATATCCACTTTAAAGTTAGGAATAAAAAAACAAACATGTTTTGTGTTAGCAGAATTTAATTCCAACTTTAAAACTTATCCAACATTAATAAAACTTACCTCAAGTTGCCTTTTTGGACATGCATGCATATATTTGTACAAATTGTACTTGAGAGGAGATTATTACAGCCTCATATAAAATCAACAATGATAATGATATCAGAACAGGATCGGTATCGGCCGATATTCAGATTTAGGTATCGGGATCGGATCAGAAGATTAAAAAAGTGGGTCGTGTATCCCTAAATATAATACCTGTGGTGGTGAGCTGTGCTAGGTAGGGGTGTGTTATCTTCAAGAGCATAGCTGCATCTTAATGTGGTTTGAGAAAGTTTGATCACAACAGGACCTAGAGCATGTTGTGGTTGCACATGGTAATCTCTTTGTGGTAACATGCTGCTGTGTATACAGAGGGTGAGGGCACAGGAGAGTGTTTCAGGGACATAACAACAGGGGAGAAATTGGTGTTAATAATAGTGTAGCAACGTTATACTTGTGTTCAAGCTGAGCATAGGATGAAATACCAAAAGGGTCGGGTGGGTCCAGACCCCCACAATTTTAGAAAACAGAATGTCCCGCTCAGTAAATCATTTGAGAAACTATACTTTAAAGCAATACAAAACCAGAAATCATTTTCACCATTTATAGAGGCAAAACAAAGCATTTGATTCATGTGACAGCTTCTTAGTGTGCAACTACGTGTGGGAGACAGAGTTCAGTTCCCTAACAGATCATTTTACTGTTATTTTACATTTCATATATGCCCCTTCCCCCACAAAAATGTGCTAAATCTTAAATCTTCCTTTTTCTATTGCCTCCTCTTCACAACAATAAAATAGAATTTCTGCATTTGATACTAAAAAATGTTTACAACTTTGCACCAATGTTTGCTCATTTGTTGCCTCTTTATGTTTATTCATTTGAATAATGTTCTGAATTTTCATATTTACCACACAAACAAGAGTATAGAAAGACACTTATTTCATTCAATTCAATTCAGTAATACTTTATTAATCCCAAAGGGAAATTATATGTTGTTCTAACTCGTTATCCTCGTTTCATTAAGAGATGTTATAGATACTGATGGCTGTAGGCAGGAAGGATCTCTTGTAAAGGTCCATCCCACAGTTGATCCTAAGAAACTGGCTGCAAAATGTCGTCTGATCCATCCATCCAGACTCGGCTGACCTCTCGGTTCCTCCGGGCTATAGGACCGCCTGGCTGGGCTGAACTCGTCCCAGAGCGATGGTCACTCCTCCCAGCAGTCTGCCAAGCTCCTTGTTGCTGTGGACAGCCAACTGTAGGTGCTGAGGGACGATCCTGTCCTTCTGCTGTCATGAGCCGTGTTTCCTGCTAGTTCCAGGATCTCAGTGGCCAGGCACTCGAGCACAGCTGGCAGGTAGATGAGAATGCATCCACAGAACATCCTTTTCAACTCATTTGAGATTTGGGGCTGTAGTTGAGATATTATTTGAGCTTTTTAGATGTTAATCAGCTGCTGTTGGTTGTAGAAAACTGCCTTGTTGCCATGGTTACGCATCATAACAAATGTCCAAAACTAGAAAAGTTTCAGTAAAAATCCTTCCAGCTGCTCAGCATCTGATACCAGAGGAAACAATCATCCAAAGAATGTGATTTACATCCAGCCATTCATCTGGGCAAAAACAAAAAGAACAAACAAGAAAGTCATATATGGGTCAAATTTGTTTCCTATTTGATTATTTTCTGTGTGTTTCAGAATGAGGCAGTGTAAAGGCTGGAGCTTGGTGCTGTTGATGCTGTTGGGTCTGGGGTGTTTGGCCCAGAAGCTGCCTACAAGAGATGAAGGGCTCTTTCAGATGCAGATCAGAAACAAGATGTTGTTTCACGACTCCTCCATCATACCAGACGGAGCTGAGATCAGTGGCTACCTTTTCAGGGACACGCCCAAAAGGTAAGGGCAATGACCCAATGAATGGCATGAGTCTGATAATTACAAGTGTCTACTAATCAGAATCAGAATCAGAATAAACTTTATAAGTTTATTTATATATAGTTATTTACTAAAAACTGAAAACAAAAGCTAACCAATTTCACCTTGTGTTGATTAATAATGAAGATTGAGAATGTAAAAACCTTACTGATGACTTATTGTTCCTGTAAATGTACAAAAATATCAAATGTTTCTTTGTAACACAATCCATTATGTTGATCCAAAAAGTAAATAATGGATGACAAAGTCTGTGAGCTCAGACGGCACATGAGCAAAGTCAGTGGTATAAAATTAACTCCGCTGTTTCAGTCTGTCCATACACACCATTTGGATAACACCAGACTATAATGAAGTATATGAGGCAGTGCTCATATCAGTCCCATTATTTTCACAGGTACTACTTTGTGGTGGAGGAAGACAACACACCCATGTCTGTGATAGTGACACCCTGTGATGCTCCTCTGGAGTGGAAACTCACCCTGCAGGAGCTACCAGAAGAGTCCAGTGGAGAGGGATCAGGTATAACTAACGCCAAGCAGCAGTGGTAGAGGTTAATGACACCGTATGTGGAAATATGCCCCCCCCCCCCCACACACACACACACACACACACACACACAATTACCAAGCACAGTGATGTTAGGCTTTGTGTTCTGGTAGGTTTTAATTTAGTCACACTTGTAATGTCTACTCTGACCACTAATGAAGCCTGGCTCAACCCAAGTGGATGTCTATAATTAAAAAGTGTTTCTACTTCAGTCTATCAAAGTCCCTTTACTTAACATCTCAATTTTCATAAGAAAACCATGCTGTTCTCTGTGGTGTCTGCCATCCTGCCTCTTTTTTTTACTTTTCATTTTTGTTCCACATTAAAAATTTATTTATAGGGCTCCTTAAAAGATTTTAAAAGTGGCCTATGAGACCCACTGTTAATCTAGGAGTGGCACAGAAAATCAAAAAAATCTACAACATAATTTTAGGCGTTTTATTGTGCCGTTTTATTTACACCACAGAGAATAGCACAGTCGGTATGCAGCTGAAACTTACCACCTCCTTCATTTAGTTCAAATTTCTAATTAAAACTATCATCCTTCATGCTTGCTCAAGATGAGAGTTCTGTGATGGAGTTAAACTTAAAACAGTCTGCTCCTCAGATAAATGATGTTAAATTTTTATTTTATATATGAATGTTTCTTTGCAGTGCCCTGAGATGACTTCTGTTGTGACTTGGCTCTATATAAATAAACTAAATTGAATTGGGAAAAAGAGAGCTTCTTATAGTCTTATGTATCAAAAAATTATATCTCACTAGATAGGTTAGTGCTCAGAGTATCACTCCCTTCAGGAAATAGACAACACCATAGTTCTGTTACTGATGGATTTATTCATCAGAACAGCACTTAGGTCACTCTGCATGGTCATCAAATCCACCGTCAAACTGCTCAAAATACATAATAATGTACAAAATATACATATTCTTATATTGCACACAAATATGCACAATGAAATATAAAACAAATAAACATACCTCTCTGGCTGTACACAACCAAAGAGGGAATGAGTCCTCCGGAACAAAAATAAATATTCAAAAGGAAATGGACAATGTTTTAAGCTTCTTTTAAGCCTTTAGGCAGAACATAATACTTGCTTCATCACATTCATACACTGATGGGACACACATCAGAGGCAATGAGGGGTTCAGTGTCTTGCCCAGGGACATTTCGGCATGTGACTGCTGGTCAAACCCCCAACTCTTGCATTGGACTGCTCTAACCACTCAGCCACAGCCGCCCATGGCAAGTAAAGGCTGTACAGGACAACAAACAGCTACAGCTACAGCTACATCGAGGCCTGATGCACGTCTGCCTCCTTGACCTCTAGTGGAACATGTGACAATGATGTTGACGTTCCCTCCAGGCCTCTTGACGTTGAGGTTATAAAATGGGACCTGTTGCTGTTTCTATGGGTGGATTTTGTTTCCATGATGAAAACAGAAGTCAGAGCGGTTTTGGAAAATGAAATGGCAGTGATTCAAACAGATGTGCGGGCAGTTCGAATGCGCTTTGAGGAGTTTAAAACAACAATAAACAGATATAGCATTGCTACATAGCACGCTGGGTGATGCCGAACAGAGCTTAATGACCTGCTCTGACAACATTGAGTCACTGAAATGGGGGGTTAAGTGGCTGTGAGTTGTGACTGACTCACTCCAGAATAAATGTGAAGATCTTGAATTCAGATCCCGGAGAAATGATATCAGGATCGTTGGTGTTCCAGAGGGCCCCGACAGCTGCTCCCCCTCCTCCATTGCTAGTCCACTATAGAAGGCTCTTAACCTATTGTATATGATGTGCCGCTGATCGACAGGTCCTACAGAGCCCAAAAACCAGTGCCAAAAACAGGACAGTGATCAAGAACCATAATAGCTCGTCTTCACTACTACAGTGACAACGTCAGGATTCTACGTCTCGCCAGAGAGAAACAGAGGCTGAAGGTGAATGACATGGTTATCGCCATCTTCCTTGACTATACAGCTCGGGTGGCTAAAGCCCGAATTGCATTTAACGGCATCAAGCAGCAGCTCAGGGGTCTGGATGGAGTCTGTTTCGGCATCTCTCACTCGGCTAGGTTCCGCATAACTTAGAACGGCAAAGAGAGCTTTTTCTCTTCCCCAGAAGAAACCCAGACCTATGTCGCGCAGTTTATCACTCCACACGTAGCTCGGTCAGGTGGACTGGTAACTTCTTAATTACTGAATCAACTGTGCATGTTCTCAAATAAGATGGTTATATTTTGATCAGAGACTTCTATTTAAAAAAATATAGCTCTCTGAGTTTTTCTGTTTTCTATTGTTATTTTTATTATCATTGGTAACATATTTTGTTATGTTACCCAGATTGGCTCTATTTTTTTTTTCAGTTTGTTCATAGAACAATTAATGTTATACAGGGTGGAGTTCTTTTTCTTTTTCACTAATTCTAAGTAATCCATTTGAGGGAGCCTTAATGTTAAGATAAATTTTGTTCTGCAGGTTCTGTTTAACCTGTTTTTTTCCTGTGCAACATGCACTTTTCATGTGCCTTTTCTTCCTTAGGTTGGAGGTTAGTGCGACATTCCACTAGGTTGGAGATCAGCATAGGGGTAGTGTTATGGGACTCCTTCCCTTTCTCCTTTTATTTCCTCCTTTCACCCCACCCCCCCACCCCCCCACCCCCCACACACACACCTATTTACTTTATTTATTTATTTATTTATGTTTTATGGTGCAACAAGAAGATGCAGGGACTTCAATTCTTTACTCTAATCAAAATCCATACCATTCAGTACTGCTTCCAAAACATTAATATAACATGGTGACACCTGATACTGGTCCTTCAGGCTCTATTCAGTTTACCAGCTGGAATATCAAAGGGATCAACCACCCTATCAAGTCTAGTAGAGTATTTACACACCTTAAATCTCTGAGATCAGATAATTTCCCTACAAGAAACTCATCTACGTACTAGCGAACACTCAAAATTGAGCAGAAATTGGATTGGGCAGATTTTTTTCTTATTTGCACAGATCCAGAGGCACAGCCATTTTGATCAGAAAAGGAATTCCTTTAGTTACAACTTCTGTAATTTCTGATGATATTGGTAGATTTATAATTGTTGCTGGCAAACTTTTTGGCTTACAAATTGTCTTAGTTAACATTTATGGTCCGAACTGGGACAATCCACAGTTCTTCACCCACTTTATAGCTAAACTACCTGACCTCCATTCCCACCATTTGATCTTGGGAGGTGACTTCAATTGTGTGTTACACCCAGGATTAGATAAGTCTAGACCTAGACCAGACAGTTCAATTTCTATATCTGGTAAGGTTCTCCTGTCATATATTGATTTATATAAGCTCTCAGACCCATGGAGGAGACACAATTCCACAATTAAACAATGTTAATTTTTTTCATCAGCTCATCAGTCATATTCATATATACTGTAGATTTCTTTTTGCTTGACAATGGATCTCTTCATTTTGTGAAGGACTGCCAATATCACAATATTGTTATTTCTGACCACAGTCCAGTTCAACTAGAAATGTGCTTCCCTAACTACATTGCACCGCAACGCAATCGGCCTTTTGATCTGATATTGTTGTCCAGTAATTAATTCATAAAATTTTTGAATACTCAAATTTACATTCATTTGGACATTAATTTGACTCCAGGAATGGCATATGCTATAGTATGGGAATATCTAAAAGCTTTCCTGTGAGGTCAGATAATTTCCTATTCAGTCAATGAGTAAAAAAAAAACTAAAACAGACGAGCCGTCTTTCAGAGTTATCAACTCAAATAGCTGATATTGATTTTAAAAAACACTATCTATTAACTATAAACCAGAAGAGTAGCTTTTGCTACAAACAAAATTTGAAAATTTATCAATTAAGCATACGTAACGACTTCTATTCAAATCCCGACAAATGTTCTATGAACATGGTGACAAAGCAAATAAACTTCTCTCCCACAAGCTTAAACTAACGGCAGCAAATAATGCTATTCCAGAGACCCAGGTAGCACCTAATCTGACCTCCACCATTCCCAAAACTATTAATGAGTACTTCAGCCAGTTTTATTCATATTTTTATTCGTCTGAGACCAATGCAGACAAATCTGAGATCAATTATTTTCAAGACCAGATAGAGATTCCAAAGATTGACTTAGAAACCCATAAAATTATTGAAGCACCAACAACATCTGAAGAAATTATTAAAGCTATTAGTTCTATGAGAAGTGGCAAAGCATCAGGCCCCGATGGATTCCCTACTGAGTTTTTAAAAACGTTTAAATCTAGGCTCGCTCCTCTTTATGTTCCATTTATCAGGAAAAACTGCTACTTCACAAACTATCTGAAACAAGGACGCAAGCTGTAACTTCAGTTCTATATAAAAAAGATAAAGATCCTCTAGAACGTAGCGCCTATCGGCCGATTACCATTCTTTGCTCTGACTACTAGATTCTCACAAAAATATTTGCGCAGCGTATTGTAACAGTTATCCCAAAAATTATCGCTCTGGACCAAACAGGATTCAAACCAGGTCGACAGTCTTCTCATAACATGTGCAGATTATTTAATGTGATTTATTCCTCTCACTCAAATGTTCATGCAGAAACTGTGCTTTCTCTCGATGCAGAGAAAGCTTTCGATCATATCAAAAGGAACTACCTTTTTTCTGCTTTGAATAGATTCAGTTTTGGCCCATCATTTATAACCTGGATTAGGCTACTTTATGCCTCTCCTACTGCATCAGTTTGTACCAACTCTGACTGTTCTAATTACTGTAGTCTCTATCGTGGCATTAGACAAGGCTTTAGTCGATCTCCTTACTTATTCAATATCTCAATTAAGCCACTAGCCATAGCCCTCAGAGCCAATGACAAAATTGCAGGGATTTTAAGAGGTAACTCCTGCCATAAAGTTTCTATTTATGCAGCTGACCTGCTTCTTTATACTGTATATGTCATAGCTCTGCTCTCT